TAAGACTGGCTTTTTGCTGCAGCTCTGTCGCTGTTTGGACAGCTTCTGAAGAAGTTTGATGTGTGAAAACTAATGTAATGAAAAGCTTCTAGAGAATGCATAGATATCGATAACAAAATGACAGATTTTATTTGTTTTAAGTTTTGTGCAGGTTGTGAGTAAGAAGAGACATAGAGTTTTTAGTTTTATATGTATTACTTTTTTTTACATGCCTAATGCAAGTTAAACAACTCACTGGCATTTTCTATTCAAATCAGTACTATTTTTCTTGGAAGAGGAGACTACCTAGGACTACCAAGTCTACTTCCAAATTCTGGGGTAGGTGCAGTTTGTGCAGGATAAGGCCATATGATTTGTGTGCTTACAGTTAAGAATTTACGTGTCTTTTGTCCTTGTTGCTGTATCTGTTGAACAGATGTTTCTGCTTTAATCTTGCCTTGTTGTGAGATGTACAAACAAGATCTTGTTGATTTTTATTGCTAGTTAAGGTGCAGATGAGATTAATATTAAACAAGTTAATCAGCCTTTATCTGTAGTTCCTCTGTGTTGTGAAATTGTGACGTCTGGCCAGTGGCTTTCTCCTGCTAAACTAAGTTTAGATAGAACTGAATTGCATGCAATTAAGTATTAGTCATGCTAGCATTAAATAATGCATATTAGAAATGTTACATGATGCAGACTAATGGTTCTTTGTCTTGAATAACTACTTTGTAGTGGTGATATGGGAAGCTTGTGTTTGAAAATAAGCCGCTTAATAGCCGCTCTTATTATCAAATAGAGGTTTTGATTAGAAAAATAAGATAATTACATGTCAGTTTTTGATTTCCATGAGACATCAATCACATGGGCTAGGGTATAGGGCAGTAAAGCAACTTAAGTTTTGTTCTGTGTTCTGCATGTAACTGAGACTGGGATTTTAGAAAAGATCCACTAATTTTGTGTGGTTCTGTAATTTTGTCCTAGTGTTCCTAATATTTAGGGTCTAAATATACAAAAGCACTAGTATTCATGGTTTTAATCAGATTTAGTCAGTGGAAATGAACATTGGCTGCTAATTGTTGTCTGAGTACTATGTTCAGTAATTGCTAAGATCTTGGATCTTAGTCCCGTGTTAGAATTTTTCTACTGTAGGAAGCAAATTTGCAATCCCATTCTTGGGTGGGGAACAAGACTTCTCTTTCTCTAGAAGTCTGTTCGTGAGCATGTGAAGTAACATCTCTGTAGCTCTGCTGGAGTCCCTTGTACTGTGGCCGTGACCATACCTTTAAAAAGTGGGTCTTTCAGACATGCAGTGCTCTTCGGACTAAAACCCCGAGAGGTTGCGCGTGGAACCTGAGTAACCTTTAAAGTAAGGCTAGTATCCTTGCCCTCTCAGGTGTGGGATACTTGTTTCTTGTGGACACTTAACTGGAAAAGTGTTTCTGCCAGGGACTGTGGAAGTAATGGAACTGTGAAAGTGTGCGTTTCCTCCTTACACCAGGAACAATGACTTTCTGTTAAATGCCTGTAAACAAGTGAAACAATCAGTGAGCCCTGTTACAATTGTGGCTTATCAGACAGAAGACATTTGCTATGGATTGGCCTTTAAAATGGCATAAAATACTAGTTTCAAAAGGATAATTTCCCTGTTTGGGTTACAAATTATCCAGTGTGGAAGAAATCAGTAAATACAGTAAGCTTACCAGCTGAGACTCATTTTCCCACATTTCCCTTCAGCTGTAGCGGTTTCTGTTTCCGAGGCATAGATGTTTCTTGGTTTCCCCTTGTTAGAAGTGAAGCAGTGTTAGCGAACTAGTCATGTATCTGTGCTTCTGTTCCTGGAAAGCTCCGTTAAACTTGCTCTGGGATAGTAAATTGCTTTTGGTTCTTGGAGATTAGTAAAGGTGGTAATTGCACTGATTTGGTGGAGTCATGTTATGTGACGTGTACCAGAAAGTGGTCACACGTGGCATTGCAGTGGCCAGGATGATACGGATCCTAATGGAATTCCCTTCTATTCCTCTTGTTTTGTTTGCTGCTGTTCAAGCTGAGCTGTGTCTTTATGCATCTTTGACCCCTAGTCACAGTGTTTTCACTGTGGAGTTAAAAAAAAAACAAAACAAAAGCATCATGCAGCAAGATCCTGGCTGGCTTTAAACTAGTTGCCTAGGTTCTGGAAGGAGAGAGTACCAACCTAGGCTCAGCAGCATGGCCGTCTGTCTGGGTTATACAAGTGTATCTGAAGGGAAAGACCAACTTCGCTTTTTAGGTCAATTATATCTGAATCTTTCAGGGTGACAAGAAGTGAAGGCTGTAGGCCTTACATGGGAATTTACATGGCTTTTCACAGGGAATGCTGGCTTAATGAATATTTAATTTTTTGCTTTCTCTGCAGGGATTTTGTACTGATATGAAGCCCAACGTGGTCATTTGACTACCCCCTACCACTTTCACCTGAGAGAGGAGAACTGAGCCATTGGGAAAGAGACTTATGCTGGTACTGCGATGCTGACTTCTAGCTCAACTGCTGTGAAGAGTCTTCCTTTGAAGAGGAGGCTCTGTTTCCTGCTGAAACTCGTGTGCTTTGTCAGCTCAGTGTTAATATTTTGTGAATTTTTAATTTATTATGTGGTAATTTTTCAATGTCAATGGCCAGAAGTGAAAGCTGGAGCTCACGTGGGTAAAAAAGAGAGTTCAACTTCAATCCTAAAGGCCATCATTTTAGCTGATACTCATCTGCTTGGTGAAATCAAAGGGCATTGGCTGGATAAGCTAAGAAGGTAATAATTAACTTTTTGAATAATCTCTAGCCTGGGTTTTAGAGTTTTTAATAGTAGCTAATGGGACAGATGTTTAAAATTGATGTTGTGGTACATGTAAGAAGTGTGCATGCTGCCTCTGACTTCCTGTCTGGGTCTGTGCTGGATAATAAACCAGTGTTGAAAGGTTAATGAACGGCACTTAGCGAGGCAGCGCAGTCCTCAATGTGCAGGCAGTATGTGGGCACAAATGCCTGAACATTTTTGATGGGTCAGATAGTCTTTTCCAGTGTGTAACTATTTTATAGAATGCATTCAAAATGAGCCCGATAACTCAGATGTCCCAATAGTTAATACCTTTAACTGCAGAGATAAGGAAGCGGGTAGAAATTATTCTCTGTAGTAGAAGTATTGGCGGCAAAATCACATTTAAAGACAAAGATAATCCCACCCTATGCCTACAAAGCCATGTTGTTTCTGTTAATCCAAAAAAAAAAAAAAAAAAAAAGCAGAATGCTGAAAGAAAGTACTAATTGTACCATGATACGAACATTATAAACTTTTGCTGCAGAAACAATAGCGTAGTAAAACATGAGCAATAATTCACTGTTCTAATTAAGGGCTGTTTAATGGAATTGTAATGAGTAGAAATAAACAAACCAATATTTCTTTTTGCATGAGTTGGTCATGCTTGTGTTGTGGTGGAATTATCCACCAGGTAAGATGTACCTACTGTACTTAAGCCTGATTTCTAAGTATTTAATCTGAATTTCCTATTACCACTTTGGGTGTGTAGGAGCCATCTTCCCATTCCTGCCAGGCTGTGTTTGTGTATTCAGAGCTGAGGATCCAGAAGTTAGGCAGTGATGACTGGGTGTGTATTTTCCTTTCAGGGAATGGCAAATGGAAAGATCTTTCCAAACTGCCTTATGGTTACTGCAGCCAGATATTGTTTTTATTCTGGGAGATGTCTTTGATGAAGGAAAATGGAGCTCACCTCAGGTATGACATCAACAGCTCTCTTGTTTCAAAAAATGAGGATTTCTTGAAGGAAATGGATGGCAGAAGACTTGGTATGCAAGGCTGTGTTTAATATTACTATAGTTGTCCTACTGGTAGAATTTCTTGTGTTTTAGATATGAGTTGAAAAGCTGTGATTCTCCTTCTTTTTTGGTAGTATCTCGGCACTTTACCCCTCCTCATAAAAAACTTATAAAATGTAAACGTCTCACTGAGTGTGTGCTTCTGTATTATATACCAGTGCTCCCCTTTGATACTGTCAAACAACATTTATTTATTTATTTATTTATTTCCATGCAGGCCTGGACAGATGATGTCAGGAGATTTCGGAAAATGTTTAAGCATCCAGTTTCTACTGAGCTGCTGGTTATCGTTGGGAATCATGACATTGGATTTCATTATGAGTAAGTCTTGTCAGTGAAGGGAGTACGAAGTGCCAAGAGCGAACTGTCGGCATGCAGGTGGTAACTCGTTTTGTGTCTGAGTGACCTCTTGTGTGTTTATCAGAAAGTTTTTCATCATAACCAAATTGGAAGGGATTGTAATTTAGAGCAAGATCTTACAAAGTATCCATCTGTGCACAATGCACCCTAAGAATACATTTTAGAACAGTTTTCAGGCTACTTCTGTGCTTCTCTGAGCATATGTGAAGTTTTTCAGAGCTGGTCTTTCTGCGTTGGCAGAGAAGTCTTGAAACTGCTTTTCCTTACGTTGGGCCTCTTGTCTGAGCATATTCCCTTTCCCATTATCTCAGCATAGAAGACTGCACGTGCCCTCGCTCGCTGTACTTCTACAGGGCGGCAGTGCTTATGCTGATGTGACTGGGACAGAGCGCCCTATGGGTGTCAGAGCGTCCCCCTGAGTTTGCTGAATGAATATGGGATCTAGATAATGAATCGTCTACAAACTGTCAAAGCAACCATGTCAGATGATTTACAATGCCAGTTTCTTACCTCAGTTGTATTTTTGTTCTGTGACACAGAATGACTACTTACAAGGTAAATCGATTTGAAAAGGTTTTCAACTTTACTTCAGGAAAGCTAATAACTCGAAAAGGAATAAAGTAAGTATACTTAAATTTTTTTTTTCAACATTTACAGTAGTGATTACTGAACTAGCAGACTTGAATGATTGAAAACTGAGAAACTACATTTCTAATAAGTAGTATGGGAATGCTTAACTTAAAGCCTTTTTTTCTTTAAACTTTGTATCTAACTTGTGATATGTTAAACATCAAACACTTTGTACGAACCTGTAGTTTGATATGGAGTGGAAGCTGTACTTGAGCTAGGCGAATTGTAACAATTTCCTTTTAAATGGAAAAGTACTGTGGAGTCAGAATCAAATTCTCTGGTTTGCCCTTTTTCTTCCTCGCAGCTGCTAATGACCCGTGGCTGTAAACATAACAGAATAATAGGATTCAGTCAAGAAATGCAAACAAACCCTCTCTGTGCTTACAAGTTAAGAGTTTCATTAATTTTAATAACTTCTTTAGTCTGCAGAACATAAGTCTTGTTTGAGGAATTTGGGAGCGTAGCAGTTGTTTGTCCACAGTTCATCCACAGGGTGGGGTAATAATGCACAAGCTGGTTTTGGCTTAGAGGAGACCTTGTTACAGAGCTTGTTCTCAGAGGTGTGTGGCTGCAGTTGTCCGCTGAGTGCCCTCTTGTTACGCTTGGATACCGTGCAGGAACCCGACGAGGGGAAGCAGTAGTGGGTTTGTGGAAAGGCATTTGTCTGTAAACCTCAGATATATGAAGGGAAGACCCATGGCCACGTGTGCCATCAGGTTATAATCACTCACGCAAATGTAAAATTCAAAACCTACAGGTTTACACTGGTTACCTTAATTAAGAAAACATTAAAAAATATTCTGAACAGGTCTAGAAATGATGTGCCTTTTTTAGGACGATCTATCAGCTTCATGACTGCTCAGTATAATGCTGTTGTTTATCATGGACACATGGGGTCCTCTAGATATGTATTTCAGCTATTTTAAAAAATAGTTATTAAGGAATAACTTTGCCCCTCTGCTCTACTCTTGTGAGACCCCACCTGGAGTACTGCGTCCAGCTCTGGGGGCCCCAGTACAGGAGAGACATGGAGCTGGTGGAGCGAGTCCAGAGGAGGGCCACGAAGCTGACTGGAGGGCTGGAGCACCTCTCCTATGAGGGCAGGCTGAGAGACTTGGGGTTGTTCAGCCTGGAGAAGAGAAGGCTCCGGGGAGATCTACTTGCTGCTTACTAGTATCTGAAGGGAGCCTACAGGGAAAAATGGTGAGGGACTGTTTATCAGGGAGTGTAGTGACAGGACAAGGGGTAATGGGTTGAAGCTGAAGGAGGGTCGATTTAGACTAGATGTTAGAAAGAAATTCTTTACTGTTAGAGTGGTGAGGCACTGGAACAGGTTGCCCAGAGAGCTTGTGGAGGCCCCTTCCCTGGACGTGTTCAAGGCCAGGCTGGATGGGGCTTTGGGCAACCTGGTCTAGTGGAGGGTGTCCCTGCCTGCAGCAGGGGGGTTGGAACTAGATGGTCTTTGAGGTCCCTTCCAACCCAAACCATTCTATGATTCTATGAATATCTCCATGTCCCCTTTGATAAAACAGCACAGCAGAATTCTTGCATGCAGTTGCAGATTGTATGTCTAGTGTCATATTCATTAACTGAAAAGAGCTGCACTATTAATGAAATGTTCCTGGATAAACAAATCTATGGTATAAAAGTAGCTTAATTTGATAAAAGAGAATTTTTTTGGTTTGACCAGTATCTCTTAAGTGGAGGCATTCAGCTCATTTATGTCTGTAAAACATACTGAATTGAACTGAGAATCTATCTTGAGTCCTGAATGAGTGACTAAACCGGTATGAATCTTGTGGCAGAAGTTCAAAGTTGATTTGAAGTCTACAGGCAAATCTTTTTCTATTACAAATAAAATCCTGGTTTCTGTGTGAAAGACTGCAACTAAGTTTGTTCAGGGTAGCCAGCAAATGCAGTGCTGTTTTGCTTTTCAGTTGTTCTGAAGGAATCAAATGTCTAAAATTACATCTCCGAGGTCTAAAACGTGTGTGGGGAGAGAAACAACCCTCAGAATTCAGCTTAGTGGGCTTCTAATATTCCACTAGAATACCACTTCAGTATCTGTTATAATATAAAAAAAATCTTGAAGTGTAAACATGAAGCATAGTATACAGTATATTGTGCAACCTAATTAACAGCTGATTATAAAGCAGCCTACCAGGTAGAGAAACAGCTACAATATGGATACCCAAAAGAAGATTTCTAGCATGTGATTTTGGAAGCTGTTATGTTCTGCTGTTGTGTTGAGCTGTGTCCAACTTTGAAACACTTGCATTTTATAAAATAAAATTTATCCCACGCACGTGCATGAATAGCAAATACTTTCCTGTCCTCCCCACTCCCCTTCTCTTTGCCTGCTCCCTGGTATTTTCCAGCTTTGTCCTAGTGAACAGTGTGGCTATGGATGGCGATGGCTGTGCTGTCTGCCGTACCTCAGAGGCAAAGCTTGTGGCGCTTTCTCACAAGCTGAATTGCTCCCAGCAGGTAAGAGTTCATTAAAGATCTGATTACAGCCAGCAACTCGGCTGCCGCAATGGGAATACTGATGCTGCAGCAATAGTCAGGATGTAACTAAGATGTTCCCGAAAAAAATCTGCTTCCAATTCATACTGCAACTTGTTAGCAAATCTTTCTTCTCCTCATTTGCCTCTTATCATTTTTACTTAACTATTAACTGTGTCGCTCTGTGTTAATGGTGTTAAACTTACTTGTCAGTGCTGCCAACAGAGAGTGTCATTTCCTGTGTTCCAAGAAATAACAGAAGTTCCATAACCCTCCCTTTGACTCCAGATACATAATTACTGCATTTGTGTTTGTGCATATTGTTCTGTTTCGTGTTCTTCAAGCTAGCCTGTTCTAGTTTTCTGATTCTACTGCAGATAACCTGGTAATGTTTTAATTGTAGTATTTTTGTCATCAAATCCAGTTGCTGCTTCTTTTTCATTCCTCTTCCCTTTTTCATAGGCCAACCGGACGCACGGTAGGCAGCACAACTGACTGGGCTGGCAGTCAATTGGGAAACCAGCTCCCAGGGGAAAAACTGTTAGATTCTAACTGCTCACTCGCTTGGGCTGCCCTGAATCTCTCTTGCCTTGTTTGTGCAGTGAGATTCTGCTGTTACTTTCTGCATTCAGAGAGAGGGCAACTGTAGTCACAGCATATACAGAAAGGGCAATTAAAGCATTTCCCCTTCCATCCACTGAAGAGGCTCTTAAAAGTTTATACAGTGGACAGGATTTAGACACTACTCTGATGTGATACTGCTTTTCACAAAAACCAAAACAACAAAAACCCTCCGACCCTTCAAACCCTAGCTATTGTTTAATTCCCTTCCCTACCCTGTGGTGAAGTCAGTATGTATGGTTTGGTTTTATTCACAGAAACCGAATCATTCCAACAAAAGGTGCAGTGATGTGGAAAACCTCCCAGCTTCAGAACCCATCCTTTTACAGGTGTGTTGGAGCTGGGGTGAGGCAATGTGTTGACGTGTTTTTAGTGTATTTATTACTGTTCCAGAGAGGCTGGATCGTTAACAAGTGATCCTTGCTTTGAATGTCTCCCAGCATTACCCTCTCTATCGGAAAAGTGATGCTGAATGCAGTGGAGAAGATTCTGCTCCTCCAGAGGAGAAGAACATCCCATTTAAAGAAAAGTATGACGTACTGTCTCAAGAAGCATCGCAAAAGGTTTGATACATTAGGTACTTGAGTATTGGAGGGTGGGTGGGGGGCAGGAGTGTAGATACATGTAGATTAAAACATTTTGGAAAGGTTATTAGCCGAGACAAACAGACCACCGCTGTTCTTGCTTTAGTGAGGCCTTTGAAAGGCGGCTTGTGCAAGCTGCTCCCCTGGGATCACGGTGAGCACGATCTTGGTTCTGCTGGGCTTCCCAGGTACAGCCCCTAAGTCTTGGCGCGCTGAAGTCTGCTGCAGTGCCGTTACCTCCTCTTTAGCATTTGGTACTTTATGTACCGTGTAGGTTATTGACAGACCTTGTAGAAAGCCAGTATTTTCCAACGCTTTGAAAGCACTGCTTTTGCTGAAGTAGTAACTACAAGAAAATACTCCCAGAAAATCTAATGGGCAGTATTTGTGTCCTTCTGCATACATGCCTTCACTTGGGATTGGCAGTGCAAGAGTCTCCCTTAGACAAGAAACCAGCATTGCTTTCCTGAACCCATAGTTTTTCTGTTTGTGATGTCAACAGCATGGTACCGTCTTTGTTTTTCTCATCTGTACGGCCAAAAAAAATGCCAGTTTTTGGGATGAGGGACAAACTGGTATGATTAATATCACAGCATTGACACATCTCATTGGAAAACAGAAGTTAACACAAAACGCTTTGTGAGGATATTAGAATTCCCATAATTTCATTCTGTCAGAAGAAAAAAAAGGGTCTTAAGCTTAATTTCTATTTAGTTATGACTTAATTCTTGTGCTTTCTCATTTTGTATTCTAGCTGATATGGTGGTTTCATCCCCGTTTGATTCTCAGTGGACATACACATAGTGCTTGTGAAGTGCTGCACGCGGGGAAAATTCCAGAAATCAGTGTGCCGTCATTCAGTTGGAGGAATATAAACAACCCTAGTTTCATCATGGTAAGTTTTAATTTTTTTTATTTTTGTCAGGTAACTTTCATAAATAAATCAACATGGCAGTCAGCTATATTTGAAAACTGATTCTACCTGTAAAAACAAAAAAATAAAAAAATTGCCTACCCACCCGGCCCACTCAGTACACTGCATCCACTTTATAAAGTCCATCTGTGGGAGCCACATGTTCTATGTGGTACAAAGCAATGCTCCTAAAGATCTAATTAGTGTCTGGGTACAAGCATCGAACATTTTCTTATAAAGAGGGTGCATTGTAAACTATTGACTTGTAAAAATAATCAGTATTGTGCACTGAACAGTAGAAAGACTAGTTTGACTTGGTTGATTTACCAACTACGAAAACAAGACCGTATCCACCTCAAACTCTTTTGCACGGTGATCGTGGTTTTCAGACTTGTGCATTAACCGCTTCACACAGCGAAAACATTTGTCATGTGCCAATAATAGTCCGCCTCCTCGGTTCCAATTCACATTTTATACAGTGTGTTGGCTATGCTCTCACAGGCAGTTCCAGTGCTTGGTTATATCTTTAGAGGTAAATCAATTAGTTCCCCAGTTCAAAAATAAAACAACTCCTAGAAACTTGGAGTAAGAAGCAAAACCTACAATCTGTTCACGGAGTAGTCTGTGACTTGGGAGGGGGAGAGGAGGGGAATCCCTCATGTATTTCTACTGCTGTTGAGTTTAGGCTGCTTTAATACACGGATAATCCCAAACTTTTAAATTCATTTTATGCAAGTGTTAGTATTTCCTGTTGAAAGTAGTTCTGTTTATTCCTTATTCCTGAGAGTAGCTGCCTTCAAACTACACGCGCTCTTTGCACACGCCAGACAGTGCATCTTCACTGCAAAACAAGAGGTTGGCTAAGTAAAGTTGCATCATCTTCACTACTGTTTTAACTCGGCCTCGGTCCGTTGTAATCTTTAATTTGAACTGCAAAGTCAAGCCAAAACCCAATGAAGTTCTTTGTTGTTCGGAATTTGGATTAGCCAACGTGTTTTTTGCAGCATGTACTGGGTAGGAAGAGGGTTTGCGGGGAGGAAGGGGCGCATTAAAGAAACCTAACTTCAGCTTGGGAAGGCTCCTTCCAGGTGGATTTACAGCATCTGAAGTTGGGCTTCTCTCAAAGGCAGATCAGATGAGGAGCCCAGCTCTCTATTTATGCTAGATGGAATACAAGGAAGGTTGGCCTCTGGGCTAATGTTGGCCTGGTGAATGTTCCAGTTATTGCCCAGCACCGCAAGGTACGGACTCTTCAGCCCCCTGGAGAAGGCACTGGTACTAGGAAACTGGCCCCAACCCTTGCCACCCAACACAGAATTTAGAAATCGGAGATCTGACAGCCATGATGTTTACTCCTGATTCAGAACCCACTGCAACAGCAAAGTGACAGTCTTCATTTCTTTTCCAGGGCAGCATAACACCAACTGACTTCTCCCTCCACAAATGCTTCCTTCCGTATGAGAGCAGAGTCTTTGCTATATACTGTGCAGCAGGTGCTCTGCTCGTAATCCTGATACTAGCTCATTTTCAGCTTCTCACTCCATTTTATTTTGCTCAGCGTTTAATCAGTAAGCATAAAGCAGTATGAAGAGCCAGACATCTGCATTCAGTCACTGAAATACCAAAGCTGAGAACAGTCAAACATCAGACTATATTCATGCCAGCAAATGACCTAATTTGATTGCTAGTCTGAAGGCAGGTTGCATTTACACATACCATAGAAGTCCTATACAGCTGATATGACTACTACAGGATAAATAATTAACTGAAATGAACGTTTCATGCTGTACAAAAATACTGTATTCTACAATCAAATGAGTCCTTTTCCTGCTATAATTTTTGTATCAAATATGTATATTAAAAGTGTAACTGTACATTATGTAAATCCTATAGCCTCATCACTTCTCTGCACTAGTGTCTTACCCTGGTGGAGGCTCAGTCCTGCAAACTGGAAAGGTTTCTCTGTTTTATTGCTGCATGGCCCTTCTAATGTCATACTTCTTTTTGTTAGGGTCAGGCAGAAACTAGATTCATCAGCACTGAGAGATGTGGGTTTCCGTAACCTTTTTAGGAGGTTGTATGTGAGGGACTGTGGTTCGGGAGAAGGAATCTTCCAGTTCCTGACACATTAAATTGTTAGCTGACTACAATTGGCAGTTATCGTCTACCAGACAACAATGGGAAGAAGCTTGTGGATCCAGTTTGCTGATACACACTTGAAACCTGCTTAAAAAAAAAAATTAGGGTGACACCTCAAGCTGCTGTTTTTAAAAAGATGTGCTATGATGAGCTTAAAAAAAGAGGGCCCTATTGCATCCCAGAGATCTGTGTGGTGAGGGGCCCTCCAGTTGCCGATCTTCTGCAAGAAGGAAGGTCAAATACAGCTGCAGTAACATTATCCTATGCCTTGGCCCTCCGTCTACGGACAGATAGGGATAGGAATGCACGTCAGGGCTGCCAAGTTCTGGTAACTTTATGGTAGAGTCACATTTTGAATGGCGCTGTCCCCTCCATGGGGAGGTAGAGGCCGCCAGCCATGCTGCAGAGCTGGGTCACGGTCATGTCCCCCGCCCCGCCCAGCCTGGATGGCAGCATGGGGAAGGTAAAATCTGAGCTCAGCATCTTCGCACGCTGTGTAGGAGGGACGGTGTGACAAACCTACTGCTGCTCCCCACCCGCCCCGAAAAAAACCAGAGGGACTATTTCACACCAGGACCAGTTTTCCTGAAGAGGCTGGGAGCTCTAACCTGAACTGCTGGGCTGGGGCTGTTGTAAAGAAAAGACTAACTTTTGTCAGTCGTGCTATTACTTTCTTTGGCATAGGGAGTGAGAGAATCTTTGCGTTTGGGAATTTTATTTATTATTGGCTTATTCCAGCCAGCCTTTCACTTTTTGGGAAGTATCTGATGACTAAATTGAACATGCAGATAGCAAGGTATATATGTTTCTGGGAAGAGGAAGTTGTCATAGTATAGTATCTAAACTGAGATTGTTTATCATCAAATAGAAACAAGTTGTCATCTGTAGTCTGAATTTAAAAAAATGATTGGGATTTATAACTACTAACGATGCTTATAGTAAAAAGTTAATCGAACCTGCTGATTTATATGCCCATGTGGGGAATGTGTTAGCTCTGAATCTCTCCCTAAATTTAAAAGGAAGTGAGGGGGAATGGTCCAAAGTGTGGTAAAACACTCTATAAAGTAATGTAGTCTAACACTTCTCTAGGTTTCTGTTATTGCAACTGTAATTTTAGACATTTGTACAGGTTATCTTGGACACAGGAAAAGTATATAGTCACAGACATAAAACACCTATGTATAAAATATAAAGCAGTGTTATAGTTACTAAAAAGGACATGCCTTATTGCTACAGCAATTCTTGCTTTTTATATATTGTACTGTACCACAACTTGTTTTGAGAATGTCATTTGCATAAATTATTCAAGTTTGAGAAATATTCACACATTTTGATTCTACAATATTTAAAATAAAACAATTTTCTAATGTGTCTCTTTATTAAAAGAGAAATAAAAATGTCATCTTGTAATTCTCTTAGGCCAGACACAAGGGTTTATACACCTTTTTTTTTTTCTTTTTTTTTTCTTCTTTCTCGCTATTTACTTGCACAATGAAAGCCGCTGTTGGTACAAAGATTGAAGAGCTCTATATAATGGTGCTTTACACATTCACAATCGGTCTGTGCAATTGTGAAGTTCTATGAATGACCAAAGAATTACCAAACATATTTTCTAAATATAAAGGAAAAAAAAAAAAAATCCTTGGTTCCCATTAAAACAACACCAGGTTGCAATTTGGACGCTTGAATGAATTCCAATGTTTTAAAGCTGAGACTTCAAAAGAGAAAGGCATGTTTGCTGCAACATCCGGTGACTGTAATACCTTACTTGGAAAGGTAAGTGGTTAATTTGCATAATTTATAATTTTTATACTAAAGAGCATTTTTATATAAACCAGAAAAAAACCCCTAAACTCTACAGATAAAGTTCTTACCTCCAGTCACTGCTGCAGGTAAGGTTGACATCAAGCTGTACAGCGCAATCAAAAACATACTTACATCTTAGCTCATTTTACAGGTACAGCCATAATCAAGGCACAAAGATCTTCTACAAGTATTTTTCTTCAATAAAGTTGTACAAAATAATATTACATTTTACAGTCTGTACAATATAATAAACCAGCAGTAAAACAAAAAATATATATAGGGAGAGGACTGTTGTCCAAGAATGATCTGAACTAAAAGGATCATTTGTGGACAGCACAAATAACGTAAGTGAGGGTGGTCAATTTTCTGCCTAGATGCAACAGGCTGAAAAGTAGCTGTAATTCAAATGCCTGAGGTGTGCAGAGACACTTGGCTCCAGAACCCCAGCAAAATTGCTTTGTCTTCACTATTCCTCTCATAATCTACTCTACTTCCTGTGCCAGTAACGGCTTAAAAGAGGAGGTCACTGTATCAGTTGACCTGCAACTCAGAAATGCTAAAAACTGTGACAGAGTAATAAATATTGTGGTGCTGCTACATTGTGTGTCTACTTCCTCAACAGTATTTAATAACCTGATACAAAGTGCATTAATCTTTTTTTTTTTCACCCATCAAGTACTCTTCAATGTCATGTTAAAAAGGAAACCCACACAGAGGGATAGCTATGACTTCAGTGTCATCCAGCTGACATACCAGTTTGAACTGACGTTAACCTGCTGGAAAAAATTTAGCAGGTCACGTTCAGTTGGAAAAACAAAACCTAAGGGAACAGAGGTAGCCGAAGGGCTTAGTGGAATGACGAAGAAGTGGCATGTCAAAATAAAGCACAAAAATAGTCCCAAAAAGCATGAAGGAAAACCAAACCAAACTTGCTTCAAATCAGCTTTAAGGTTAAATAATTAAAGTAAACAAAGTGAAGAGACTGACATTTCTATAGTATATTCTTCCACCCTGTGTGGGGTAGTATCAAGAGAAAGAGTAAGGAGCAAAGAATTTAAAACCACAGGTTCCACGGTGATCCCCCTCACAAGAGTTCGTACTGGCGGAGGTGCATCCTTTGAATGATGTCTCGACAGTCGTTGAACACTCTGCGGATATTTTCTGTGTCCACTGCACACGTAAAGTGTGGGTAGCAATAATGCCTGCCGTCTCCGCTCGCCGTACTTATCCTCTGTGGGAAAAGAGGGGGGGAAAAAAAGGGTCAGGTGCCGTGCCACGGGAAGTTTCACATCTCGGTGGTCTATAAACATGGAGCACCAAGAAACCTGGGAAATTCTCTATATAGATCATTGAAATAAATAAGTAAAAAGAAGGAAGGTCTGTGGTCTAGTCCAACATGAACCACTAAATTGAAACAAAGATGAAAAATAGGTTATGGATAACACTATGGGGTCAGTATATGAGTACGTTGTAAGAGCCGTTGATGCTATTGTCATTTGCATGAGCTGTTATTGTTTGCAGATCTCTGTGCAGCTAATCAGTGCGGCATGCAGCACTGCAGTCTGCCATGCATCTGTCCCAGGATTTTGTTTTCTCTTCTTTTTTAGTGCCATCATGTGGCAAATTTTTGAACTCTTGTTTTAAATCAGCAACACAAAACTGAAAACCTCCCAGTCGTGAAGCCAGTGGTGGCAGAGAACAGCATCCCACTGCTGCTGCTTCTCGCAGCCCCTCAAGTTACCTTTACTCAGAGCACTATTAAGCCAGCTGAAGACTTGATATCATTACTGAGACCAGAACACTGGAATTGTCACCAGTGGCCAAGGTCCCACAGAGTAATAAAACATGCACAAATCCAGTAAACATTAGACAATGCAGAATTAAATTTTAACAAGGCTATTGCACAATTTTTTAGGTTGCTAACTTAAGCTCCAGCATCACTTCACCTGTGGTTATCTTGCTAAAATTCCCCAGGATCTTAAAAAAATATTTTAAAAAAAATTCTTAATTTTTTCTGTATTACTGTTGGACTGATAAATACAAATCCATTCTAGATCATTATCTTGAAAAATATATATGGAATGTCATGAAAGCAGAAGATGTCATGAAAGCATTCCTTTGTCTCCTGACATGATCAGTTCTTGGGCTAATTATTTTTATAAATCTTTACCAAATTTTATTACAAATTATACTGGCTGAACAACAAAAGACAATGTTTTCTCTCTCTCTCTGGCTACACTATATATTTTTAATACAGTGATTTATTTTACATGGAGGATTCACCTTTTAAATACCTGCAGCTACAGATATACAAAACTACAGACATTTAGAAACCATGATTTACATAATTAGATCAACAAATTGCAGATTTTTGCAGGTACTTTAGGTAACATTAGATATTCAAGTCTAATTAAACAAGGGGTGTTCCATATGTATACTAAAAATTACTTTTTTGTTAGTAAGCTACACTCACTTGAACAATAGTTCAAGGCTTACCCTCACAAAAAATAGTAATTCAATAACGTATTCAATTGATGGGTAAGTTGTTCAGACCATAGCTGAAGCATGAAGTACAATAATGAAACAAGAAAAAAAAAAGTTTTACGAAGTACCACAATGGTGGCAAAATGCTGAACCTCAATTAAAATGTAGATTGTATTTGTCTACCTGCAAAATCTTCCAGAAGGATTTGGGGAGATCTTTGTTTTGCAAAATCTGGGGGAATCAGACCCTTAGGAACCCAAGGACTGAAAGGACAGTGGTGTGCACGGACATTCAACGTGATACTAATTTTAAACCAGCAAAAAATGCAATAGCCTTTCCATTTTTGATACAATAGCTGCTTTACATTTCCCCCCCCGCCCCCGCAGATCTGTTGTTCTATGACAGTGGTATAATGCTGCCAACTCAGATGCAGCAAGGAGAGACCAGTTACTAAAC